TGTTTCCAGATGGCTGGAGGTACACCATTTTTCTAGTCCTCTGAGTGTGTTTTCAGCCGACCCAAATTGGAGTGTAATTCAGTGGAAACTCTTCAATCCAATACACTCCCACACTTGTACATGTAGAGAGAGAGAGAGAGAGAGAGAGAGATATCTGGCTGAGCTTAGCATCTCAGTGGAGTGGTGGATTAAATTACTGTAGCGTTCTCGCCAGTTTTATTTGCAAAAGTATAAATAGAAACCGACTGAAGTTGGGAAGGCAGATCCTGAGGAAAGCATTAGGCCAAGCTGAGTGTTTGCCTTTCGGTAGTGTAAATGCCACGTTATAAGGAACACCAAATCAAACTCTGCCCGTATAGTTAATGCAGTTCACACATACTCACCAGAGCCATTGGTCCTGTGTGCAAATTATTTTGAATTAAAATCCAGATTTTAAGGTCTTGCAGCACTCAGCCGCCATTCTGCATGAATGGCACTGTGTAAATAAGAGCTGTTAATTCAAGTTGCTTCATAAATGTATAGTGCACTTTTAGTACATTACAGCGATCCCTTAAGTAATAATTATAACCCTTGCATCTGAAATATTACGTTGGGAAATGCTAACCCAGGTGAAATGTCCTGCTCAAAATAGATTTTCATGTGTGTCCTTGGATAAAAAGTTAGCATAGTACGTATGTAGTATGGATTGTTGGTTAAACGATCCGTCTAGATTACACATTATTCCAGTTTCAAAAGAACTACTGATTTAGGCTAAATTTTAACACAAGATTTATATCCCAACATAATCCATCATCGATGTAATGCCCATTAAGTAGTCTTTTTGATTCAAACTAAAACTTGACCACAGCGAGTAGTGTTGCCATGATCCACAATGCTATCCGGTGTATGTCTTCCAACTCACGGGGAGAAATTCTACCTGGGTTTATATTTACTGCATTGACGTAACATCTTAGAGCATTTAGAATTTGACAAATTGTTCGATTAAGTCATTGCTTCGAAGTTGTTTTTCTGTCGTTCTTAAAAACATCTGGCGAAAATCCGACTTCAGTGTTAAGTCTGGTTAAGAATTTGCAAATTCTGGTGGCTATAAATCGCCCTGTTAAAAAAGTAAAATACAGTAATAATAACACTTGTATTTGATATCGCGCCTTATCGCGACGTCGTTGAGTATGTGGCAAAGCGCTTCACAGGATATACTATGAAGTGGATTGACTGTGTGTCTTGTGGGCGAAATGAGGCAGCCAATTGCACACAGTAATGACCCAACAAAAAAGCATGGGTTGAGTGATCAATTTTGTTTAGGGGATTGTTGGCCAGGACACCAGGAGAAACTCCCTCCTCTTTTCGAATAGCGCCATCGGGATCTAACAACCACCAGTACCGTACAAATATACGTTCGTAAAGCTGCTTTACTTCGGGAAAACATCCCACAGCACTTAAATCTAGACTCAGGTAGAATTTCTTCCCATACGTCTACTTCACCCACAAAGCACGCCATCAATCCACTTTATATTATATCGTGTGAAGTACCTTTGAGACGTCTCGAGGTACTATATCAAATGCTGTTATTATTATTATTATTATTTATGTGCTCTGTGTTTTGCAATGAACACTTGCTTTTGGGAGATGAACGAGTGGAGTCTGCAATCTTACCGCTCGATTTGAACTGATTCTGACCCGCCAGTATTTGTTTACCGGTCAAGCGGAGGAATATTCAGACTGAGTTGACAACCCCCACAGCAGCAGCAGTGCCCTTCGTACAGGATAAACGTCTCGGAGAAGGGAGGGGAAGGTGGGGATGGAAGTCACGTTCGAAGAGGTGGGATTTTAGGTGAAATTTCAAGATGGAGAGAGAAAAGTTGAGGCAGAGGGGTACGGACAGAGAAGGAATTCCAGAGGTTAAGGGGCATAGTTGCTTAGTTAACGGAGAGACAGCTAGTCATCACCTTTCCGACTTGAATTGGAGTTCTCCTTTCAATGAAGCGGTACCCCAAACCTGTTTCAAATGGGGGGACGGGGGGGAGGTGGTGGTTTTAAAATGTGTGTCCCCTAACCTGGCAACCATTTTCCTCCTACACTGTGGTGCTTGTATTTGTAGTTTCATCAACACCCCACCCCCCCACCCCCACCCCCACACACACACATACGCCCACACTTCTGGGCTCGCTGACACGATAAGGCATTATATCAAATGCAAGGATTATTTTTATCTGGGATTTCCACCAGCAATACAGCAGTATCATTCTCCCAAGCAACTGAAATTCTGGGCACGATGTTCGACACACACAGCTGCATAAATAACCTATGAACATTGGGGCATCCTTGCGCAATCTTTTATTTATAAGCCTTCTCCGCAGCTCTCGCGGAACTCCACCTTCGCAATAAGTGCTCTCTTATCATTTAATTAAAGCTGGGTGTCGAGATTTTAGTTCACGCTTATATATATATATAAAAAAAATCCAGCAATGCGACCTCGGTTTTCAGATTGCACAGTTAATGCGTACACAAAACTCTGCGGTAACCTTCACCCAGAGCCGCGAAAACATCTTGTGCAGGAAAAAGCTGAATAATTTATTGCTAAACATTTTTTTTTGTGAACATTGGGCACCTTTTATGTGTCGAAAAACATCAAGGAAATTGACTGCGCGCGACACCCTCGAGACGATCATTTCTCAACCTTGCGTTCAGAACGCCCGCCTTTGAGTCTGTGGGTTCAAGCCCCAAGTCAGGACTTCTGGCTCACAGTCTGAACTGAAACTTCAGGGCAGCGTCGGCAATAGCTCTGCGTGCATTCGAGCTGTTCTCCTTCTAAAGAGAAGGTTAAGCTGAGAGCTTGTCCGCCTGTCGAGACAGGCATTAAAGATCCCGTGACACTTTTCGAGAAAGGGGCTTTCTCCCAACTCGGCCAACGATCCTCCGGATAAAATTGCTCATTCGCTTCGGGACAGTCTGTGCGCAAATCGGCTGCTGCGTTTGCCCACAAAATACGGTCCACACGGTGGAAATACGCAAGTGAAATCCCGTGCAGTGTTTGAAGATGTCCCCTTGACACGAACAGCACTGTATGAATTGCAAATATTATTATTAATATTGAACATTATGGGTATTTCCAGTTAATATAGTCTGATATATTATGCTTCAAGTTGGAGATTATTATTCAAGCTGTATTCCCCAGAATCAGATCAACACAGCAAACTTTCTAAAGCAAAATAGCATTTCCCGTTTAACTTCTTTTGCGGCATTTCTGAAAAACGTATGTGACTTTGCTGGATTTTCTTTTGCATCGTTGCTTTTTGTTTTTGTTCAGTTCATTAAAGAAACACTCTTCTGTTTGCTCAGCACTGATAAAAAATTTGTCTCGTCCAGAGGGAAATATTCAGAGAGGACAAAAAAAAAACGCTTAGTTTTAAAAAAGATTTTATTTTAATGTAAGGCACCCTCAGTGCAATCATTTAAATAGTACAACTAATAATAATAATAACGTATTATGTTTCAAGTTGGAGAGCAAGTAATGCAGGTTTTTGAAGCCAAAATCAGATCAACACAACAATAAATTTTCTGAACCAAAATAGCATCCGGTATTGAATTTGTGGCATTTCTGAAAAATGTACGTGACATTACATTATTGTTATTTCGCATTTTTTTTGTGCATTAAAGAAGCACTATTCTGTTCGTTTCTCATTGCTAAAAGGTGTCTCCGGTCCAACGGGAAACATTCAGAGAGGGCGAAAAAAAGACATAATTTTAAAACGATTTTGTTTTCACAAAAGGCACAAAAGGTAGTGCTTCTACCAAACATTCTACCAACGGTCATTTGGGACTATGTTCAGTGATGGACACGATGCCAATCAACTGGACTGTGAGAATATTGTGGTGCATCCGAAAGAGCTAAATATCCTGAGCTGAACCACTTAATTCACTATACCTTCCCTCAAGCTAGTTTTATTCCAAATGTTAAGAAAGAAAGAGAGAAAGAAAGAAAGAAAGAGAGAAAGAGAGAAAGAAAGACAGACAGACAGACAGACAGACAGAAAGAAAGAAAGAAAGAAAGAAAGAAAGAAAGAAAGAAAGAAAGAAAGAAAGAAAGAAAGAAAGAAAGAAAGAAAGAAAGAAAGAAAGAGAAAGAAAGAAAGAAAGAAAGAAAGAATAGGGGCTGTCAAACCTGTCAAATTTGCGTGTTTGATCGACGACACTAAGACAACATTAATAGGGTCGTGGGTGTTTGTTTGTGAGTGTGTCAAAATATGCGTTCCACGTCTAGATTTCCTTGCAAGTTAAAAACATTGGCTCAAAGCAGGGATACGCGACCACACACACACCACCAATTTGTGGTAATTTCAAGTCAAATTAAAAACTAATTTGCATTTGTGTGGAAGGCTGAATTTGTAATGAATTCAAAAACTTATTCCACAAATTCTATAATGTATCCGTATCAAGGGGACACTGTCGCTCAAAGCGGCGACGATTTGAATACTGTACCGTTTTGGTTCTAACTGTTGGTTACGCCATCAATCACACGCAAACGATCCGTAGAAGGATACAACAGGTGAAAGTCGATGGCAGGGGACAGTCTTACAGTGGCTCAGCTCAGCGCTACTGTTCCTATTTGGGACTCTAAATCATAATTCCACTTTCCCGAAAAGCAAACTTCTGGGAGCAAACAAATTTAACAGAATATATCTGGACGCAAAATATCCGTAGGCAAAAAGGGAGATTCCTCCCCCCACCCACCCCACCCCCCACCCGCCAGAGCTTTAGTTTTTTTCTGATGCAAATATGTGTGTGGAGAAAATCTCTTGGATTGTCCAGTGTTATCTACGTTCTTCTGATCTTGTCCCAAAGCATTGCAACCAGTGGTTGGAAACATGCTTTTTCATATATCTGTAATAAAGACATCTAAATCGAAAGCAGATGTCTGTCACAAAACATTTTTGGCATTGTGACAACACCTTCCCACTTGCCCTTGTTCTTTGCTGACTGTGCTCTTGTTTCCCTTCAAGGTCTTGCACACCTGATGATGGGCGACCAAGGTATGGGTTCCATTCCTTTTTTTTTCCACTGTGCTTCCTTCTTCCCCACCTTTCAGTAGTTGTCTTTAAACTCTCTCTAGATATAATTTGACGAAAACGTATACTCGCAGTTTGGCTGTTTCGAGGCAATCCTGCTTTTTCTTTTTTTTTTTTTTGTCTTTTTTTTTTGTCTTCCCTTTCCTTTTTCTTTCCCTTTTGCACTTGAGTCAGTCTTTTTCTTTTAAAAGTTATTAACTTTGTGCGAACTTGGAGAAGAGGTCCGTTGAATGTGAAAATGTCGATGCGGAAGGGATGGCCGAAGCAATGTTAAATTTTTTTTTAATTTGAACCCGGTGTGTTTTGTCGGTGACTTGAAACGTAAGATGCCCAACGAGTTGTGCTTGCTTATGTATCAGGTGGCATTCTCCATAATTAGCACTCACTCTCAGCTTGACGTGTGATAAATTGTCGCACTTTATTGCAACATGTGTTAAGCAGTGTGCTTCAACCGTAAACCATTGATGCATGGCCGATCGAAAGTGTTGCTGCAGCGTTGTGCGAAACTGCCTTGGCCGTCGGAATGAACGCCAGTGTATTGGTTTTTTTTTTCTTCCGCAATGTTAGGAAATTCAGCTGAATAATTTCATGCCTCACCACTTTTAATCTTGGTTTTAAATTTGAACACGGAGCCATTAAACTGCGTCTCTCTCCAGGTGTTTGAGTAGATATTTCTCCCAACACCCAAAAAAAAATGTTTCGTAGAAAGTAGTCCATTCTTCCATCCCCATGCAATATATTCTCAGGCTCAACGTGCATTGCATGCTTCCACGTTGAATGATCTTATCTTAGCTGTGATTTTGTTGCTTTTTCTTTAACGCATTGCCATGCAACTTATCAATTGTTTCTCTCTTTTTTTCCTTATTCAAAAACTGCTACTTCATGGAACCATTTCATCAATCTCATAGGTAAAAGTAAAGGTACTAAAATGCTTTGCTTTCTTTATCTTTCCAACGGGGAAAAAAAGAAGTTTCACATCATTTTTTTGAAATGCTATCCAAATAAATTAACCCACATGAGATTTTAAAAAAAAAATGGGGTTTCTGTTTGTCGCCTTGAGGGCGTGTGTTGGTTTAATAAGTGTGGGTTTGACGCATTGAATTGCAAGACCTCAAAGGTAAGGCTATTGTCGATATGTTTATTTTTTTGCTAAACGCTAAAATCGTACGTGTCTTGTTGGAAAAGGAACTATATTAAGTAGAAAAAGCGATGAGTTTCCCCTCCGTTATGTTCAGACGGTTGGCAGGTTTGTAGCTTTAAACTTTAGAATATTGCATTATGTAAATTGAAGCACTTTTGAACACATCGCCTTCAGCTACCTAAACAGTAGGTCCATTTGGAATAGCACCTGGTCTGACCAGAGATTATAAATGACAGTTTACACGTATTAAGTTCAGCAGCATTTTTTTTCGTTAAATTATTTTTCCAGGGGCTTGAGTGGTCACATGCAAAGAGATTCTCTCTGCATGTTTAAGGCTTTTAAAATTTAGCCTGGCCTGTGTCGAGGTTGAAAAACATTTGCATTGACCGCAGCTAAATTGAGAACTGGATAGATTGAGGAGAATAATTGTGTGGAAGTGGGACCTGCGTCTTTAAACCAGTAACACATCCATTATACACCCGCATCAATTGGTACCTTATTAACATGTGGTTTAGAAAGAGCACAGCACGGAAACAGGCCACTCGGACCAACCATGGACTCGTGCTGGTATTTAGACTTCACATGAGTCTTCACCATGGTGCTCAGAAGTCCAAGGAACTCTTGAATCCACAGAAATAGAATTGATACGACAAGGCATCCTCCCCACTCATTTTTTTTTGCATGATATGTTTTGGATTATGCCACGAGCTGTGATCCATATGACGATGCCACGGCAGCAATTCAACTCCTTGATCTCGTCAATACAACGGTCAGCTGAGAGGAGGGGCAACCTTCGATGATGAAACTGAATGTGGTACATTTAGGACATCGAAACCGGATGATTTAGTTTCAATGATGGGTCCGTCCGTTCTCAGAATTTGGAAAAACCCCCGTCGTCGTCGTTGGGGGCTTTTGTTAGGGAGGGAGGATTTTTAATAACCTATTTTGTCGTGTGCCTTCCCGGGCTGGATTCGAGATTCGTGCGATGCAGTTTTTTGTATCAAAGAAAAATACTTGAGTCTTCGATCGGTTTGAAAAGATAATTTAGGAACAGCAACCAGAAAGCTCTCACCTTCTTAGCGGGTCCGCAGAAGGGTGTTTTTTTGGCATCTGAATTGTTGTGAAAGCTGTCCTCGCCCTCACCTCGAAATCCATCCACTATCTGGCTCTTCTCCTACCCTACTCCTCTGTGCTTCTCCTGCATTCATCTGACTCGAGCTACTGCACTTCCCTTCCAACTCCATACCACCATCACTGGCTCATCCTTCAGTTCCTACACCCCTAATCTGCCCTCTCTTTCTATCTTTAAGTCCCACATCAAATTCTGCCTCTTCCAACATGCCAATGGCCATCTCCCCCTCCCTTCCCCCTTGTACCCATCCAACTCTGTCACTGTGCCCCAAGATAATACCCTATGAACGGCACTGTATATAAATACAAGTTGTTGTTGGTGGTGACTTTGAAGGGACCTACGGTACTTTGTAAATTTCCCTTTACGTGTAGTCGTGTAGCTCAGTGGTTAGAGCACTCACCTCGCAAGCGAGAGACCTGGGTTCGATTCCCGGCAGGGGGGGTGAAACCTTGGGCAAGTTTCCTTGCTCCACACGCCTGATAGTAATCCCTCAAGAAAAAAATATTATTGTTTGGTCACTTCAATCCTCGACTGTTCGTGGGGACGCTGCTGTGCGCAATTGGCTGTCACATTTCGCCCACAAAATATACAGTCAATTCACTTTACCGTATGTTCCGTGAAGCGTTTTGAGATGACTAGAAGACGAGATAAGGCACTACATCAAATTCAAATGCAAGGATTATTATTATTATTAATGTATGTTATGCTGATGAGGACATTTTCTGTTTTGCGCACTTACATTTTAAGTAGTTCAATGATAAATTATCTGGAATATCACACCACCACCCTCACTCCCACACATGTTTACACGTCATAGGATTGTGTAGCTCTATTAAATTGAAACTATCTTTTGCAGCCATTCTGAAGGCATTTCTATTATGTTATGACAGTACAATTATTGGACTTTTTTTTCGAATTTAGGTTTTAACTTGGCAGCAATAATGAACTAATTTAGGGTCAATAAATGGTAATTCGATCAACATTCGTGGTGGCTAATAGTCTTGCAATATCTGAAATGATTTTTCTTTGAGGATAGATAACAACACCTGGCATTTAAGTATCAGTGTAGCGTCCTAGAACGCTTTGACGGTGGAGAAGCACGACGGAAGCCAGGGGGTGGAACAGAGATGAATGATCTCGGAGGGCACGCAGACACTATCCGCCTCTAATCCTACCTTTATACAGCAGGCTGTCGGTAGCATTCATAACTGTAGAGAGCAATATCCCATTTTGTTTGATGTGTCATCACTCGATTAGTTGGGCAAATTCAACTTGATTGCTCGACATAAATGGGCGAATGGCAAGTGAGTTATGCTAGTTACTAAAACATTGTATATGGGTACTAAAGCAGAACCTTGAAAAGCTCTCAGTTGACATAATGTGCGATTGAGCTACGGCACTTGCATGAAACACAGAAATAGAAGTGTTCAACAGAGCTGTTTGACCCATTGGGTCGGAGCCATTGCTACATTCTGTTTCTTAAGTACCTTTTCTTGAATTAATCTAACTTTTCCAGCTCTTTTCCCCCAAATATTAGTTTCACTGCTTGGATGCTTATCCAGTTCCCTTTTGAATGATTCTATCGATCCCGTCTGACACAAAAGCATTTGTGGTGACCAATTCCATGACGAAAGAATCCTCTCAGTGAAGACGTTCCTTCTAACCTTCCCTTTTCCACCCACTGCCCCCTCTTCCCCCCACACCCCGGGTTTCTTAATCATCTGATCTAGTGCCTTATCACGTCATCGGGTAAACTGAGACCGACGCAACAATTGCATCCAAAAAAAATTCTGCACAAGTCCAACCAGACTTTCTTCTTTACGTTCAATACGACTGCCTACAAAACACACAGCCACTACACTTTACACGAAATCCGGTGGAAGCATTTTGAAATGTTCTCCCAACTGGAAAGCCGCTGTACAAACGCAAGGATTATTATTATCATCGTATTTATAATCCACAGAACCACATTTCCCTCCTTGGTAGCACGAAGCGAATGCCATGCCTTCGTGGATGAAATCACGTCCAATGGGCCAATGTGTCTTTCCTATGTATGTTATGGGATGTTTTTTCAGGTGGTAAAGATGTTACGTGGCATAAGGCTTTGATGGTAATTTTCTGCAGGTTCCGAATTTCTTCTTATCCACTCTTCCATTCCGGAGCCATCCCACCCACGTTACAGACCATCTGCCCGCGCTGTGCTGCGGTCAGCTAATAGGCGCACAAGAGTAGCTCACAGCGACTGACCTTAGATGTTCTGTCCCTCTCGGTGGGTCAGTGCCTGTTTCTCAACCCGGCACTCTGCGTGGCTGGTTTGAGAGCTCCCCACGCTGGAACTCAGAGCCGTCAGCTCATGCCTGCGGTAATCTGCTCCAGAACCCTGTGCCGCCAGCCCACCCTCAAACAAGGTTTTACTCACCAAATTTTAATCATCGTAGAATCCTGGAAATTTTCAGCGCAGAAGGAAGTCATTTGGCTCATCAAGTCTGCACTGGCTCTCGGAGCAAAGAGTTCATTTAAATCCTACCGCCCTGACTTATCCTGATGTCTCCGCACTGTGGGTTTGTGTCAGGCTGCCAGTTTCAGTTGTTCAGGGCATCGCTGGCAAATGTGTGAGGCGGATCAAGAGTAATGTTTCCTGAAGGTTGGAAGGGGAAGATTGATCCGGGCAGAAGCAGGTGCTTGAAGCTC